ACAAGTCCAATCACTGTGGCTATTATCTGTCCAATCATTCTCTTCCTTCGATGGGTCAATTCAGTCAAGGCATTGTAGATCTGCATTACTCCCGCAGATTCGCGCCAGGGTCGAGTTAAATTGACAGGTAACCAAATCTCAGGACGTGCTTTAACAAGATACAGACTGTCTCGGGTTTGGTTAAAAGTTTTCCACCAGGTAAAATTTACACAATGTTGTAAAGTACAATTTGAAGAACAAGTTAAAACCCCTGTACTAGAAATCCAAGTAATATCTCCTGATAAAATAACATAAGGAATTTTCACACAAGCTTGAGTATAGCAAGATCCATTAATATGATGATTTATATTAATAGCCGCTACAGTGTTAGAAATATTGATAGACATATTGCCAATTCAGGTTTTAATTGGCTCCTCAGATGCTAATAATTTCCATAAATGACCTTGAGAGTTTGTATCTCCCAACAAATGCGGCATAGGAGGGGTTAATCCTCCATCATGCCAAATAACAGTTTCATTGCCAGTTCCTTTCAAAGAACCATTATGTATATGCCATCTTAAAGGTATTTCTGAACATTTATTTTAAAAAGTCTCCATGAAGGCTCTAATCCACTATCTTAAAGTCTGTCCGATTTAACAATATCTTAGGCCGTTCTCCTCGACAATGAGTCCATACCAAATGTTGCATTCCCGGTTCTACATTAGGGAGTGGGCAAATAGATCACAGGAGATAGTACCGACCTTTCCCCTAAAGCGTCTTGCAGAAATAAGAACCGTAGTTGCTGCAAAAAAAAGAATGATTATACCTCACTCTCCAAACCTCATGTGAATAAGATAAGCAATGAGAACCATATCCTAGGCAAATAGAGAACCCCCTCATGCCCAAGCTATAATTATTAATATGCCTGCCTTCTTCTTCAGCAAAAGGAAAAGGGAACATTTTAAAACTCTTGCAGAAACTTCTGAGTGCGGGACTTCTTAGTCATCTCTCCGTTTCAGAAGTCGGATTGGCAACCACTCAGCTCTGGAATCTGTGGAGATAAGAGCAAACCCTCTACCCCATTGTAAAATCTCTCCTGCTAGGGTTCTATAAAATATGGGTTCTGGGAGCACTTTCTTTTAGGCTTAGGACAATGAGTTAGTGTTGCAGAGTCCTCCAGCGCCTGTCACTGATTTTAGCAGACAGAGCGCTTTCCACTAATCACAGCACCAGCTACAGCTCCTGCAAACAACTCAGCTTGTTATGCAGATCCCTGCATAAGCTCTGATATGGGAAAAGCTATTATTCCTGGATCAGGAGGCCGCTTGTCTTTCTCCTCCCCATGATTCTGCCTTGGGAAAGTGAAAGTAGCTCCGGGTAATGAAGCAGCTAAAGGGCTGTTAGCAGAATGACATTTAAGCATTTGTTTTAGCAATCCTATAAGCTCTTGAAAATCATTTCGTTCTATCACAACATCATATGATTCTTTGCTGATTCTGGACCTAATTCCTCCTCAGCTACTTCTGCATACTCCTCTTCCTCCCTTTGGATTCCATTCCCTCCCTTTATCTTTTTCTTCAGCTTTCTCTGAGTGTCTCTAATAACTGTAAAGCTTGAGTAATAGCACTACACAATGACCATAGCTTTAAATTCATAGTCTGTCCCCGTTCAGCAGTGCGTAATGTTTTTACTACCTGTTGCCATGCTCACAAATTCAATTGCACCTTTTCTTGACTGCAAAACGAATATCAATGCTGTTGTACATGCGCAAATAATTCTCCCAATAATTTATCTTTAACCTCCACCCCTGTAGAATGGAGAAGTCCTTTTATCAACTTTTGGTTTTCACGTTCCATGGATAGGGAATGTCCCATTTTTACTTGTTTCTTTTTGCCCCCAAACCGAAAATCCCTGTAGGAATTACAGAGGCACTCTCTTCCGGTTTTCCCTGCTTCTTGCAGGTTAATTTATTAACTCCAAAAGTCCCTCTAGTGGATTTTCACTTACCACAGTGGTGCTCCCTTTCGGTTTTCCGTGCAGTTTTTTTTATTAACCCCGAAAGTCCCTCTTGTGGCTTTTCACTTACCACTGAGGCGTTCCCTTCGGTCTCTCCTGTTTCTATTTCTTCCGAAAGCCCCCTTGTGATCACCACTTACCACTGAGGCGCTTACCTTTCGGATCGCCCTACTTCTTTCCGGCCCCACATTGGGGCACCAAATGATGGCGGCGGTTTCTCTAGCAAGGAGAATGAACATGGAGCATGAATAGACACACAGACACACACAGAGACAGACACACGGGCTCAGAGAAAATACAGGGCTGCGGCACGAATTAGACAGAGATGGTACAAAACTGCCGCCACTTCGACAGCCCGCAGTGCTTTATTATTCATCTCCTAAATAATGGCACGGTTCCCAGACAGGTTTGCTATTCTCACACTTGAATTTCTCATAGCCTTGAGAGTGAGTTCCGTATCTCGGCCCATACCGATATTTTCATTTCTACCAGGGAAATACTGTGTTCAGCTGTTTACACAAATCATCTTACTGTTTGCAGTATGGATGCTGTTTATGAGAACTAACTAGCACAGACGTTTGTGTACTGTCCTAGACAGATACAAGATAGAGACACAGTGCTCCTCTCATGCCTCCTGGAGTATATTATTTACATTCATATACTTGTGACTGAAGATGTAACTTAGATGGATGCATTTTCTGAAATGACATTACGGAAAATCAACCTGAGGGAAAGACTCATTATTCCCTTCTTTTCTAGAAATCTGGAAAGGCCATGACCATTTGCCTGGATGCACACAGCAAGAAAGAAGAGTGGACAGAATGGAACAGTGCTGCGAATATGATGCCTTGGAAAAGGTTCATCACCACCAAAAGAATTTTTCTATCATGAAAAATCTTGAGACCTTTGACTCACGTAAAGAAACTGTGAAACCAATTTTAACTTTCCATGCAGTCAACCAGAGAAGACACAATAAAATAAAGGAGTCTATTATGCTTAATGGAGGTGAGAAGACTTTTCTCTCTGCTGACCACGAGAAATTTTGTGCTGAAATGAAATTCCCTGAGTGTAAAACATCTAATATGATTAAATCACAGTGTAGTAAGCATCAGAAACAGAACAATCACAGTGCTCATCAGGGAATCCATAATGGAGTGAAACGCCATGTGTGCAGTTACTGTGGAAAAGGCCATTCACGGAAGAGACAACTTGTTATCCATGAGGGAATTCATACAGGTGAGAAACCCTATACGTGTACTCAGTGTGGCAAAGGCTTCAACAGTAAACCTTCTCTCACCGTTCATCAGCGAATTCATACAGGTGAGAAACCCTATACATGTAGTCTGTGTGACAAAGCCTTTACCAGTAAACAGGGCCTCAGCATTCATCAGCGAACTCATACTGGTGAGAAGCCCTATCTATGCAGTGAGTGTGGAAAAGCCTTCGCCTTGAAGAGTACTCTCAGAATCCATAAGCTGATTCACAATAAAGTAAAACCCCATATATGTACTGATTGTGGAAAAGGCTTCGTAGGGAAGACAAGGCTTATTCTCCATCAGCGAATTCATACTGGTGAGAAACCCTATACATGTGGTCAGTGTGGAAAACGATTCACCAGGAAAGGTACTCTCAGTAAACATCATCGAATCCATAGTGGAGAGAAGCCCCATGTATGTACTGACTGTGGAAAAGGCTTCTTAGGGAAGAAAATGCTTATGGTCCATCAACGAACTCATACTGATGAGAAACCCCATATATGTGCTGACTGTGGGAAAGGCTTCTCAGGGAAGAGAATGCTTATCCTTCATCAGAGAACTCATACTGGTGAGAAACCCCACAGATGTACTGATTGTGGAAAAGGCTTCTCAGGGAGGAAAAGCCTTAAGATTCATCAACGAATTCATACTGGTGAGAAACCCCATGTATGTAGTGATTGTGGAAAAGGCTTCACAGAAAACAGAAGGCTTAAGATTCATCGACGAATTCATACTGGTGAGAAACCACATGTATGTGGTGAATGTGGCAAACGCTTTGCTCAGAAAGGAAATCTCCAAATTCATCTACGAATTCATACTGGAAGCAAACCCTATGTATGTGGTGAGTGTGGTAAAGCTTACAGCCAAAAGTCATGCCTTACAGCACATGAGAGATTTCACACAGGAAAGAATCCCTTTCCATGCAATCAATGTGGAAAGTCTTATACCCAGAAGTCAGCACTCAATCAACATCTAAAAGTGCACAAAGAGAAACCCTTTCACTGCAGTGAGTGCTCCAAAGCTTTCAAAACCAAGGAAGAGCTCATGTCTCATCAAGTATATCATATAGGACAATTACTATATAACTGCCATGAGTGCGGGATAACTTTTACCTGTAGTTCTACATTTTCTTCACATAAGGAAACTCACAAAAGTAAAAATACTTTAAATTCAGACACGGTGGGAAAGCTCTCCACAGGGAATCAGGTGTCCTCGCACACCAGTGATCTCATGCAGAAGGAACGCCCTGGCAATAGAGTGACTTTGCAAGTTCCTTGTGTGGCTTCTCCTGTGTCAGTGAACACCAGTGGGGTCCTCATGAATAACAATGAGATTGTTGTGGGAGGACCTTTGGCCAGAATGGAATCAAATGGATTTGTACAGCAGAGAATTCCTCAGAATACAGTGAATGTGGCAGTACCTTTGAATCCCATCACTGTGGTTCTTCCCCAGGTGTCTAATTACAATGTAATTATTTATAAGCCCATAGGACAACCTGTGATACATTATTATAAGGACAAATTGTGATACATTAATGGGACAAGGGAATAGATAAAAATATCTACCTAATTCTACGGCTAAAAAGTATATCCGGAATTGAGAGGCTGGGAAATTCTAATAGATATGTACATATCAAATTTTTTGCACTGTAACACAAAAACATGTAAGTTGATTGCCTTGTATCAGTAAAATGAATGAAAATCTGAGTTGATGACACAAATAGAGAAATACTGTGAATTTCAAAATGAATGGGTAATTGCTATCTGGAATGTTGGTTCATATTAGTTCCTATCAAGTCAATTCTGACTCATTGTATCCCCACTTGGTATAAATGAGAATTTACCCAAAAGAGAAGCCCTGCAGGGTAATAATAATGGGTTGTTGGGTTTATCCACACACTTTAGCTGAGTTTTCCCAGGTCAGTATAAAGGAGCAACTCAAATTCAGAATTTCCACAGTGCGTTTTAGAACTTAATTATTGGAACAGGTTAAAAAAAAAAAAAGGAGGACCGATGATCCGGTAGTCAGTGTTTAGTACCAATCGGGACTAAGGAATATTTATCACTTAGTTTCTTTGGACTTGGCCTTGTTTCCTGGCTCTGAGCATAAAGTCATGAATGAATAAGAAACATACCATGCCTTATTGGAGAGAGCTTGGCGTTTTACTGGAGTATAGTTAAGTGGAATCTTCATAGCCCCAGCTAATATAATCAAAGAATAATGCGGTATTTATATTGGGTTTAAAAGAAATGGGAACATTGTGACAATGGCTTTGGGTATGAGAAAATCAGTGTCATTACTGTTGAGTTGATTCCTAGTCCTGAGCCTCGAGCTGTATGATTAAACTATGAGGTTTTTTTGGCTGATTTATTTGTAAGTGCCTCGGCAGGAATTTCTTTTCAGCTAAATCCAGGTGCACTCAAAACCTCCAGCCTTTTACATAAGTAAAAAAAAAAAAATTTAATTGTTTTCAGCATAAATGCTTTGCCTAAGGACTTCTTTGAAAGAACTGAACATTCTAGAGAACACATTTATATTTAAGTGTCCATGTCCTATCCCACCAAGGGTTGATTATACATTCCTTTGTGGTTTTAGTTACAATTTGGTTATGAGTTTCTGTATGTGGATCGCAAATGTTTTGAGAATGATGAGGGCAATCATTGTACAAATGTGCTTTTCACAATCGATGTATGTATGGACTGTGATAAGAGTTGTATGAGCTCTTAATAAAACGATTAAATAAAATTTTTTTTCGCATTTCCCAATTTAAAAAAAAGTTTGTTTGTGACTTTATTGTTTTAGATGAAAGAATTGGGGAGATTTACTCCCTTCTCTCCAAAGTGTTCACCTTTCCCTAGTTTATTGGTAAAACAACATGTGGACTGATCTCAGGAGGTTTCCCACCCAGAAATGTAATTACTTTTACCCTTGGATTCCCCGTGGCATTTCATAGGTGTGTCAGTCTGGTTTGGCTAAAGAAACATCCAGTGATCCTCATATGTTTAAGAGATAATTACATATATCATGCAAACATCGCAGTCCTGTCCTGATTAAGTCCATATGTCCACTACTAGTCCATAAGTTCCTCTTCAGACTCACTCAGCATGATGCAATGATACAAAATGCAGGAAAACCACAGGCAAGTGAGTGTAAAATCTTGTGGATCCAGTGCACACATCGCCAAGATCTGGCAGGTCCCCAGTTGCTGACTAGCAGGAAGGTGGAGTAGAGAAAGTTCATCCTTCAGAGAGCCATTTACCTTGGTCAGGCCACCCAAAGAAGTCAAGCTGCAACCTGATTGACCCATATGTTACACGTGCCATATTCACACTAAAAACTCCGCTGTCACAGCATCAGCACCACCCACCAACATAGTTATTGTACCCATTTTTTTCCCCATTAGACTCTCAAAGGGGTCACGACCCACAAGTTGAGAACCTATTGGCTCTTCAGCTGTTTCCCATCAGCTCCGTGAGCCCTTCCCCTGGCACCCCAGAGTGGGGTGGCTTATGAGTCTTTTCCAGGGAACCTTTTCTCATATGTTTGTTGGCTATTCGGATTTCTGCCCCTGAGAAACTTCTGTTCAAGTCCTTTGCCCACCTCTCAAGTGGGCAATTAGTTTTTTTTCTTTTTGGAAACTAGCAGAGTATTGCACATTTTAGTAATAAGGCCTTTGGTGTGTCATTGCTAAAGATGTTTTCCCAGTCCATGGACTCTTATTACTCTCTTGGTGAATTTTTTTGATGTACACAGGTGCTTTATCTTCAGTATATCCCATTTGTCAATTTGTGCCTCCTCTGTGTTTGTGTCCTTCCCTATTTCTGATAGCCTATGTATTCCCTGTGCCAACATTCTCAAGTTGGTCCCAATTCCCTCATTGATGGCCCTAATCGTTTGGGGTTTAACTTCAAGTTCTGCAATCCACCTTGAATTTATTCTTGTGCATAGAGTAAGCTAAGGGTCTTGCTTCATTTTTCTGCATGTAAATATCCATTTTTTCCAGCACCACTTGTTAAAAAGGGCATCACCTTCCTATTTGATATTTTTGGGGCCCTTATCAAAGATCAGTTGTCTGTATGCTGATGATTTTATTTCTGGGTTTTCAGTTCTTTTCCATTGGTCTGAGTA